AGTTCAGGCTGGCCTTGAGCTCACTTTGTAGCCCAGGCTGGTCTGGAACTTGCAGTGATCCTCCTGCCTCAGCCTCCCAAGTGTTGGGATTACAGTTGTATGCCGCCATACCCTGCGAGACTTAATTTTCATTTAAATGTAAATGATTTTTTTCTTATCAGTTGTGACACTTGATGCTACACAATTTCTGGAGTTAAGTCATCCAGACAACGAATTAGTCATAGTATTGGGACTTTTAGGTCAAAGAATGCTACTTTGGCTATTTTTGTCATAGTCCCCAAGCATGCTTTATAATACTATCTTCATTTCTGTTTTTTTTGGAGTCAATCCTTCTTCATGTGGACCTGCCTCCTTCTCCTTCTGGTCATAGCCGAGGGATTTGATTGGAATTCCTCTTGTAGTTTTATAGGACGTTCAGATTTGAAGCATAGGAGCAGGGAGTGAAAGTGGTAACAAGCTTATGTGGTCAAGGCCTTTCTACCTTCACAGTATTGCAGATTCTCTCCTTTGAGTATTGTTCTAGAGGCAAAGGGAAGAATTATGGAAATAATTAGCATAAAACTCTTCGTTTTGGTTTTTTTTTTGTTTTTCTTCCGGTACCAGGAATCGAACTCACGATCTTGCCCTTGCTGGGCAGGTGCTGTGCCACTGAGCTAAATCCCCAGCCCGACACAAAACTCTTGCTTTGAAGTTTGAACAGTGAACAGATATGCCTAATTAAAACAGAGATTACTAGTAATTATACTAAACCCACTTACATTAATCATGCCTTTTCAGGTTATTGTTCATTTTTTTTTAAACACTGATTCTTGGGGCTGGGGATTTAGCTCAGTGGCAAAAAGCGCCTGCCTGGCAAGTGCAAGGTCGTGAGTTCGGTTCCCGGTACCGGAGAAAAACCAAAAAAAAAAAAAAGAAAAAAATAAAACACTGATTCTTGATTATATATATGCTAGGGTAAATGGTATATATAATTACATGTATTACATTTGTACTAGGTTGTTTTTATATAGGGCCTTGTGCATACTTCAGTAAGCTCCCTCTTTTGTCCTGGGTTGAATATTTAAAGATAAAACTTGTATATGGACTTTTTTTTTGGGGGGGGGTCTTTTTGAGACAGGGTCTCACTGCACAGTTCAGGCTGGCCTTGAGCTCACTTTGTGGCCCAGGCCAGCCTTGAACTTGCAAAGATCCTCCTGCCTCAGCCTCCTGAGTGCTGGGATTACAGGCGTGCGTCACTATGCTTGGCTCATAACTGGATATTTTACAGGATAACTTCAAGGCTTGGTATTAGGTGATTTAAAGACATTCTCCTAAACCCATTTTTTTCTTGGCTGTTTAATGCCATTGTAAAAACATATTTCAAAGTTCAGAAAAATTTACATCTTTTCTCACACCACAGACTGAGATTTAAAAAAAAATACCTAGTGCTGCTTTCTGTTCTGATCCCATTTCCAGAAAACTGTCAGTGAATATATATGTATCGGGGCAGGGGAAAAGGCTATCTGTGGAGCATTAATAAATCCATTTGCAGCTGTTATAAGCTCCCGGTCCTCTGGATTGAGGAAATGGAGGCAAGTACACCATGTGGACCTAATTTAGGTCAATGATGAAGCTTATTTTATTTTTTACAATACTAGGGAGTGAACCCAGGGAGTTTGCACTGAGCTGTATTCCCAGGCTCCCCCACCCCCACTTTTTTGTTTTGTTTTGTTTTGTTTGAGACTGGGTCTTTGAAAATTGCCAAGTTGTCCAGGCTGGACTTGAACTCCCGGTCCTTCTGCTTCAGCCTCTCAGAATGCTGGTGTAGGTTTGCACCACCATGCCTGGTAGTGAAGCTTATTTTAAATAGTTGGGTGTTTAATTATAAGATATTTACAGTGTGAACTCGTTTATAGAATAAATCACTTTGCAGAGGTAAGGAAAGTTTTAAAAAGTTATAGCAGCTACTTTTTCTTACCAGATTCTAAAGTTAGGAGGAATCAGAGGAGGAGAAAATAGAAAATGGCCAGACTTTTAAGACTTGTATATAGAAGCTAGAGCTTTTAGGATTCCAGATTATATTTGAATCCTTTAAAACCAACCTCTTTGTATAAACAGACAGTTGGTAAAGCCTAAATTTGTTTCTTAGAGTATTTGTTGATACTTGTTTACAGTAAGCAAGAAAAGATTTCCTTCTTGTTATGGCATATATACCCTAGTTTCTAATGGTCCTGTTCCTTTGTTTTTTAATTATAAGACATACTTTCCTTCCTATCTCTCCTCTTTGTATTTGATTGAGAGTTTATACCTAGAACAATTGCTGAGGAACTTCAACTTTTGTATAGCATTTTTACAGTGTAAATGATAGAGAATGAAGAAAACTTTAAAAACCTTGTGCCTCCTTTTGAGTACTGATTGCTGTTTCATTTATTTTGTATTTAATGGAGTGTATGGGTAGCATTCCTCTAGGATGCCATTGTGGGGATATAATGCATGAGGAGGGAATATCTGGGGTAGTCTGAGTTGGTACTTAATTGGAGCCATGCTCTGGGACTTCTGGGACATTCTTACTTGGGATCAAACTAATCTAAACTACATGTGAGACTACTTTGGGTGGTAAACCTGTGGCTTCAGATTTAGGTGAGTTTAGGTGAATCTTTGGGCCCAAGGTACCACTACTGCTGAGACCACTGTCACATTGGAGTTTCTGGCTGAGGTGTAAGTGTATTTTTACATCTTAATCTCTGTAAATCTGAGAGTAATCTTTGTTTTCACTCCATGCTTTATGCTGTGGTTCCCATGCAGACATTTGAAAGCATTGGACTGCTCGCTAAAACTCATTCTAGGGCTCCATTCTTTGTTTTGTATAACTTGGGTGGTGGTTACTTGCTCTAATAACATTACTGAATAACTGAAGTGTATGCTGTTTCTAGAGTCCATTCTTTAAATTCCTCCCACTTGCTACTGCCGCACAGTGAACACTCCTAAATGTCTGAGCCTTTTTGTTCTGGGAAACTGATTTACTCTGAAATCCTGATTAATCCTATCCAGATATGTCACTGAACCTAGAAACATGTAGCATGCCTGTTAGTCTGCTATTTGTGTCCTTCAGTTATTCAGGGGCTGAATTCACATAAGCCTGACATTATAATAGATGTATTTCCAAAATATAAATGCTGTACTTACCAGTAGAAGTACTGGGAGACCAAACACATATCTTGTCTTTACATAGCCCCCAGTTTTTGTGGCAGTGTGTGTGTGTGTGTGGGGGTCTTGCTGTGTAATTCAGGTTGGCCTTAAACTCTATGTAGCCCAGGCTGCCTCAGCCTCCTGAATGCTGGAATTACAGGCCTGTGCTATTGTAGCAGACCCTACGTATCATTTTTTATTTCCTGGCATTTTTTTTCATAAAACGTTACAATATTAGATTTTATTGTGTGTTTGTTTTAGAAATAACACTGTACATTTTCATACAAGTTGTTTTCTTTCTCAAGTAACACCCCAACCCTCCTTTTTGAGATAAAATTTTTGTTCATTTATCTACTTTACCAGTATTACATTTATGATGTAGCATTCTGGCGTTTGTTTTTCTGTGAATAGCTTCTGTGAATTCAGCTCATTTAATCCGGACTGCTGTTGTATCTGCTAGTCTTTCTAATCCTCTAACCTGGCTGCTATTCTCTCTCCTCCCCTCTGTCTTATAGAGAGGTCTGAAGAATGTGTTTGATGAGGCTATCCTAGCTGCCCTCGAGCCTCCGGAAACTCAACCCAAAAGGAAGTGCTGTATATTCTAAACTGTTTTCTCCTTCCCCTCTTTGCTGCTGCTTCCTGTCCCACTACTGTAGAAAGAGCGTTTAAAAACAAAGGAATAAAACCATCCTGTTTGAAAGCCTCTGCGTCTTTTTACTTACCACCTTAGAGCAACCTCTGTATTAGTTTTTGATCAAGAATGCAGTATCTTAATAGAATATTTTTTGTGATCATTAGTCAAGTTGGACTTGTTTAACTTTCTGCTGCTTGAGTTGCCTGATGCTCAGAGCTTTTTGGTTTGGATTTCTATTGCAAAAGGGAACATGGTCTGGCATTAAGAATGTCCGCTTGGAGAAAATAAGAGTTTTAACACTTCTAGATCATAGTTCTAGAGGGAGAAAGTAACACAAACATCATTTTATTCTTATGATCAATTGTTAATTGTAATTGCATGACAAACTTTATGGAAAAAGGGTGACTTGCTAGTAGAGTGTAATGGGGAAGGGTGGATTCTTTTCTGGTTTTTTTTTGTGCAGCGAAACTTTGTGTTGCTATTGCTTTGGCTGCCTGTGCTATAGTGGAGTATTTGTCAGTTTGGGGTGGGGAAGATATGTATCTGCTACTGCTTTATGAGTTCATTTGTTACATTATCTTTTAAGACTAGCATCCATTTTAATAGTTAACTAAAGGTTTGTTAATGTTGAGATGTAAAGCTGCCGTCTTTATATTTTGCTGCTTTTGATTTTATTGTTGTGAAGGAAACATACAATTGTGGTTACTTTTAAAATTTGAAATTAAAAATATACAATTGTTTGTATAATGCCTGGTGAAGCTTTATTCCTGTTATACTGACTGGCTCTGACTTTACATATGTATCAGGTACCCACCTCTTTGCTTCCTTGTATCCCCTTGGCTCTACTTGGTGGGATAAAGGAGTTCAAAGTGAATATCTGTGGTAGCTGCCATAACTGTGCTCTTTATCTTTGCCTGTGCCTTCCATATAATAATAACGCCGCTGCCCAGGCATCCTCTCAGTCCTGTTTCACATCGAGCTGTTTCATTTGAATGCAGAGCTGCTTTCCTTGTTTTTATGTAAAATGTTTCAATAGCATATTACAAACTCATATTGTATGAACAAATGACACATGTGCTTGTTTGCTTCTTGTGACATACATTTGGTCTGCAAAAAGCTTTTCTCAAAGGACCACTGTGTCACTCATGAACATCTGCTCCTCTGCTCCTGCATTGCTGAATCTTTCCAGTGCCCTCCCCGGACAAAGCTTGGTGAAATGAGATTATTATGTTGAGATTTAGGGTTGTATTTAATGTTTCTTTCTTGGCTCACTCCTGGGGGTTTGACTGTTTTAAACTTGAACTCCAGCTCTGTTATATTGAAAATCAGACTGCCCATTTCTTCTTTCTACCCCTTTTCAGAAAGGCCTAAAGAATGTGTTTGATGAAGCAATATTGGCTGCCCTGGAGCCTCCAGAACCGAAGAAGAGCCGCAGGTGTGTGCTGCTATGAACATCTCTCCAGATCCTTTCTGCACAGCTGGTGTCGGCATCATACTAAAAGCAATGTTTAAATCAAACTAAAGATTAAAAATTAAAATTCGTTTCTGCAATAATGACAAATGCCCTGCACCTACCCACATGTACTTGTGTGAGACAAGGCCGATAGGTATGCCCCCACCCCTCCCAGGACTAGTTAATTTTGAGTAATTGTGATTGTCAGAAAAGTGATCAGTACTAGTTTTTGTTTTATTGTTTCAAAAAACTTTTTTTTGGTTGTTTAAAAGTAAGGCATGCTTGTGATGACTCTGTAACGACTAATTTGAATTGTTGAAGCTGCTCCCTGGTTCCACTTGAGAGTAATCTGGGACATCTTAGTATTTTTTGTTTTTTTCCTTTTTTTGGGCGGGGGGAGTGTGTGTGGGGGTTTGTTTTTTAGTTTTGTTTTTTAAAAACTCATTAACCAGTGGTCAGCCCTTAGGGGAGGAGGACGGATTGATTCCACATTCCACTTCCTAGATCTAGTTTAGAAAAATGTGTTCCCCACCTGGTGCTCTTAGGAAGGAGTATAGTAAATGCCTCATTTAATAACATACTCCTTTTTGAAAGTTGCCTTTTTTTCTCTCTCCACCCTTGAGTAGATCCAGTATTTGATGAAACTCATGAAAGTGGGTGGAAGCTGTCTTGCCCCTCCTCTTTTCTAGGATGCACTCTGTATGTGACTGTGACTTTCAAGGAAATTTGTTTGCCACTTGCTGTTTTTTTTTTTTTTTGGAAGTTAATTTTAACTTCTTTCACTGATAAATGAAGAAAAGTATTGCACCTTTTGAAATACACCAAATGGATTGAGTTTGTAATTAAAAAAAATTTTTCCCCCTGTCAGTCATTGTCTTATATGCTTAGCATAGATTTGCAATTGAGTAGTGTTTGGTGTTCCTAGATCCCAGCAGAAGACCTGACGCAGAGGAAATATGAGGGGTGGTGCTACAAGACAGATACGTGTGGGGTAATTGTCATCCTCTTTCAGGTTGTGAGGATGCGGGCCTGCTTCATTAAGAAGCTACGGGGTGGGCAGGGGTGGGGAGAACACTTAGCCAACATGGGGACCAGCTAGGAGAATCCCCTTACTTCTGTTTTCCGTATGAGGAACCCTATAGCAACTGGTTGAGGCTCTTTAGTTTAATAAAAATCATGCAAGGAGTCTTATGAAGACTCTTAGTAAGTGTTAATAGGGACTTTATCAGCTTATTTTTGTTGCAGTTTCCAGTTTTTAATGTTTAGGTTATTTTTTCACCTTCCCAAAATCCTAATTCTTATAGATTTCATTAGTGTTGAACCAATGCTTTCTCATGTCTCAATCTTTGTATATGCATTCTTTTCAGATGTATTAAACAAACAAAAACCCTTCACAAGTCAGCCTGAAGGTTGTTATTTTCCCTCCGCCTCTTACTTTTCAGGTATTTAGGATTGGGAACTTGACTTTTACAGAACATCAATTTCTAACAAACTTTAGAGTAAGATTTTTATAGCTTTATTATTTTGTTTCTTTTCTGACATTCAGTTTTAGGTGTTTTTCCTTCATATGTTTAGGTTTGTGCTTCTCCCCTAAGCTTGACTGGCAGCCACGAAACTCTTTCCTGCAAGTATTAATTAAGTACCAGGTAGACCCGTGGCAGTTCTTAGTGCGGGATATTCAGGAAGCTCCTTGCTCACAGTAGGAAGACATGGCGGCACACCCATGGTCCATACAGTAGTGGGAAAGCAGCCAGTTTTCTTCTAAGTTGTTACCTCTCAAATTTGACTCCTTATTAGAGTGCAGCTTCAGTGGTATGTATGTATATGTGTATGTATGTATGTATTTGTTTATTTGAGACAGGGACTCACTCTGTAGTCCAGGCCACCCTTCAACTTATGGCAGTGGAATTTTAAAGTTTTCCAGGTATTCTAAATTCTAATTTGAGTACCACTGCTCCTAGATTGTTTTCTCTAACTATGATTCTCAGATTGTAGATCCTGTGCTATGAGTCTGAATCATTTTCACTAGGTAGCAAGGATGGTCTATTTACTTTAAGGGCATCATACTGATCTGCTCAAGAATCTTAGCACCTTAATCTAGTTAAGGTTGTTACGGTGTAACCTCAGTTGATAGTTCTCTACAAGGAAGCATGATTCTATACTGTGCTAACATTAAAGAGGGTTGTTTGGAAAAGGGTAAGGGAGAGGCAGATCTAAGCTTTGCCAGTTTTAACCAATGTGTCTTATTTATTCCTTGTTGACTCTATTAGGGAGAAGTATGTGGGTCATGCTGTGATACCCTGGGGAGCAGAGACAGATATCATGACTTCTTAGTATAGTGGCATATAGGTCCTTGATTGTTGTTGTATACCAGTCCTAAAGGAGTACTTCACTCAAGATAAGGCTCTAAAGATAGTCATTGGATGGGTACATGATGTTAAAAATGAGTCAGTCAGATAAAGCAGGTCAGTAGTTATGTTGATGAATTATGCATGCATAAGAGGAACAAGGCTGACAAGGGAATTGATTGAAGTTAATTTCATTTTCTATTTAAATATTTTTAATTTGGCTTTCACATATCAGGTAGCAGATGGATGAAGGTAACATGATTTTCTATTTTTTTTATTTTTTATTTTTTATTTTTTATTTATTTTTTGGTTTTTCTCCGGTACCGGGAACCGAACTCACGACCTTGCGCTTGCCAGGCAGGCGCTTTTGCCGCTGAGCTAAATCCCCAGCCCCATGATTTTCTATTTAAATACTGTTTTCTCTTTGTCTCAGCTACCTCATTTAGTCTTGGCTTACTATGTGTGGTATGAAAGAAACAGTGTATATTTTCTTATTCTAATGTGTCTTTCACATTTTATATTATATCAGAATGCCTTCAATTTGTGTATATTTAAAGTAGTTGAGTTTTTCCTTTTGGTTGTCAAAAATTGCTATTAAATCAGTGGCATCTTACAGTTACTACCTTTGGCCCTGCTCTAGAAGGATTGAGGCTTAATCCCGAATGGAAACAGCTAGCCCACATTAGACATATGTTACATAGCAGTGTTGGGGAAAGGGTAACACCTCACCTGAAGGTAGTAGCCCCTTATTTTTCGGAGGAACTGAGCCTTACATGGTCAGAGTATCTCTGGTTATATGAGGAAAGTGGCATTAAATACTCTATTTTAGCTTCCTTGTGCTCTGTGACTCACCCTGTGTTTACCTACCTTCGGATCATGGTGACTTAATCACCTAGAACAACAGAAGACCTTACCAAACACGTATTGTACTTTCCTTCCCAGGGCTGTTTGGATATTTTTAAGTATTACTTTGAATCTTTTTCCAGAGTACTCTCAAGCTTTTTTTTAAGCCTCATTTTATTTATTGCCACAATAATGCTGCATTATAAGCCATATGGATGGTAGTTTATTATAATGTTTATTTTTCTCACTCCTTTCTCTTTTTTTTTTTTTTTTTTGTCTTTTTGAGACAGGGTCTTGATAGGCATCCTAGGCTGGCCTTAAGCTCACTTTGTAGCCCAGGCTGGTCTCAAACTTGTAATGATCCTCCTGCCTCAGCCTCGTGAGTACTGGGATTACAGGCATGCGCCACCACGCCTGGCTTTCTCATTCCTTCCTCAGTTGGCCTTGGCTCCAGGCTTCAGATTGGGCTCAGGTTGACTCCGTATTTCTCATTCAGGAGCCTCTGCAGAGAGCATTGTCTGCCTCCCAGTGAACTTCTCCTGGTGGGCCAAAGGGAGGCAAGGTCAAACACATTGAAGATTTCTGTTACCTGGAGAATGTCATATAGCCAAGCCCAAAGTCATTGTCATTCTTTCATTCTTACAGTCACTTGTTAAAAAGTCAACAAACTTTATTTACTTTTTAAGCGCTTTAAGGCCCTGAGGATATAGCCGAGCATAAAATAAATGTCTCCAGACTTGTAGCTTGACTTTTCTTCTTTTTTGTTTTTTTGAGACAGGGTCTCAATATGTAGTTCAGGTTGGCCTTGAACTCACTGTGAAGCCCAGGCTGGCCTTGAACTGATAGTTCAAGCCTCAGCCTCAGCTTCACGAGGGCTAGAGGGCAGGGATTACCTGCATGTGTCACCATTCTGGTGGAATTTTCTTTTCTTTATGATTTTGATAGCTGCTCCCAAGAGAGTCAAAGACTTATCTGTGGGTGGCATACCCATTGCACATGTTTGTCATTTTTTATCAAGTTATATGGGCAGTGATATTGGAGAGTGAGTTTGAAGCAGTGCAGTTACAAGCATGGGGAGGTAGGGACTTCCACATAAATGTCCCATAGGTTGCCCTATTGTATTCCATTGGATGTGCTGCAGTTCTGGAGTCCCTGAATAGGTATCTGGATCATTGGCCATTAGACAAGTGTCTAAAGTTCCCAAATACTTTATGAATGTATGAATGTGTTGTAATAATACTCTGTTTTTTTTACCCTCTAAGGAACAAATGTCTATCATATGTCATAATTGTCATGGTAAATACGCAAATCCACTTTGCCTGAGGCTAATGGTACTGACTTAGATATGATATTGTTTGTGTGGTCTACAAGTTACATAGTTTGTAGTCATTATAATGTTGGGGTGATTGTTACTTTACATTTTACGTAGGTAGTAGATTTAAAATAGGTTAAGGAGAGCTGGGTAGCGGAACATTGTTGTAGTCCTTGATTCATATACTATAATCACTAGTCTTATATGCTTAGCATAGATTTGCAATTGAGTAGTGTTTTGCAATTGAGAAGTGAGAATAGCTAGTGTAACCCCTTAATTTTTTGCATGATGAGTAAAGGTGAGGAAATGTAAGTAACTTGCCTATCATTGCACACTGTGTAGAGGCAGAGCTAGGCTTAGAACCAGCATTTCTTTTTTTTTTTGGTTTTTCTCCGGTACCGGGAACCGAACTCATGACCTTGCGCTCACCAGGCAGGCGCTTTTGCCGCTGAGCTAAATCCCCAGCCCCAGAACCCGCATTTCTGATTCCCCTTTCACAGTGTTTATGGTGCTGTTGTGTTGCTGCCTTCGTGTAATTTGGGCGTTAGAACTAGCCTTGATAAAACACTTTAAAACTGTTCTAAAAGTAGAAAGTTGCCCATTACAGGCCTATCCAATGAGTCATTAAAGTCCTGTGTTTCAGAAAGATGTGAAATATATCTAATGAAGGAATATAGTAGGAGATTTAAAATCACTTTGCAGATTAGAGAAGTTAAGATATAAGGAAAGACCTGAATTTAGAGCAGTGTCATAGTTGTCAGTGTACTTTGGTTTGTCATTGCATTCTATTTCTGAAGTAGAGTGATAGATTTTTAAGACAAATGTAAGCATAGCATTCTCTTACCTATCAGAATGCAAGATCATAACCAGCTCCCTTTGTTCCGAGACATCCTGTAGAGCCATGTTTTTCTCAGTGTGAGCTGTAGACACCTTAAAATTACCAAGATTCCTGGACTCTCTAGGCCTTAATGAATCTCAGGGGCTAGAGCAGAGACTAGGGCTTTAGTTTGAATAGGGATCCTGTACAGTTCTCACATCGGCTCCTCACAGTGCACCTTCTGGCCAATAGCTTTCACTTTCCTGGCCACCCTATCTGTAAACTAATTGTATGGTCATTGCTGATGACTCAAATGTAAGTCAGATGCTTAGTTTAATAGTTAAATGGGAAGGTTAAAAGAATTGCTGTAAGATGCTGAATCTAAGTATGGCATGGGACTTGAAATTAAGAATATTTTTTAAAGATAGCAGAACTTTGGTTTGATATGTTTGAGGACCAATGCATACCTTGATGACAGAACTCCTATTAAACTTTCAGAAGCTTAATGTGAATGTCACCTCGGGGGCTTATTATTTTATTTTATTTTATTTTAGTCTTTTTGAGACAGGGTCTCCCTATGCAGTTCAGGCTGGCCTGGAGCTCACTTTGTAGCCCAGGCTGGTCTCAAACTCGCAATGATCCTCCTGCCTCAGCCTCCCAAGTGCTGGGATTACAGGTGTGCACCACCACGCCCGACATAGGGGACTTACTATTTTAAAGAAAACAAGGAAAACAATGCTTGATATTTTAGTCAACCCTCGTAATGCCTAGGGTTATCTTATCTAGAGATAGGGTCTGATCATCAATTAAATTTTTATAAAAATTATTTTTGAGAGACACTTCTTTGAAGCCCAACAGAATTATTTACTGTGCCACTGGGTTTGAGAATTGTGACACTAGGCTTTAAGGTCTTAAGGTGTGTCCTATGCCTGATAGAAATTTGGAGTAATACTCAGCTATAAATCATTATAGTTTTATTTTTGAGGAATAAGGTTTTCCAAATCTATAATCCAAACAGGCATCTAGTTCTTAATTCCTTAATCAAAAGAGGGTTTACAAAGTTCATAGTCACATTAT